TGGTTTGTGTTGGCAATTCTTGAAAGTCCAAACTCTGTAGAATATTGAATTTATGAGATGTAGCTATTCTAGAATATAGAACGTTAGATTTGTCTTTATTATTATTTTCTTCAATTAATTTGTTGTACCCAGGACAGGCTCTATCATTTGATTTACAATTCTCTGAGCAGTGGGTACAAGATGGATCCAAGACTTCACAGTCATTTTCAGGAAGTGATCGGCAATAATTTATACGCCTATGTCGACTTCTACACCACTGATCTTTTATATGGTCGTATCGTTATGGCAGTTAAAGCACTGTCTAATGGAAGGAATAAATGCACCTACCCCTACATTGCAATAACAAAGATGATAATATATATTTTGTTTACGGGTCAAAAACCTATTTCTAAAAAAACATATGCAAAAGTAAAGAGAAAAATATATATACAATACGATGCTGTATATTATTATAACTCAACATTAATAAATAATAAAACACTATACTATACATCAATGAAAAAGACAATAAAATCCTAATAAATAAAACAATATAAGATTTAATTAAATACCCTGGCTATATAATTATAATGACTAGGAATTATACAAAAATTATATAAAAATAATATAATAAAGCAACTACATAGTTCATTTTTAGCTTTATTTTACTAAATAACATTATTATGCTTCAAGTAACTGACATTTTAATGAGGAAACAGAAGTATTGAACAAATCAACATTGCATATGTTGTTACATTCTATCATCATTCAATGCATCTGGGAGTGTAGAGAAAAATTTGTTCTTTTATATTCATAAAAAATATTTTCTGAATTCCAAGGTGGCAAGGAGGTACATAAAATTGCAGTTTGCCAAGATTTCTGTGGAATCTATACAATTATTATTAATTTGAAAATAAAAATAATCTCAAAATACTTTCTTCTGCAGCTTAGAACAGAAATATTGAATTAAGTTATAATGGGTGACAGTTTGATTTGAAATATAATGTATGAAGGAATTTATTTTGAACAGTTTGAGCAAGTTTTATATGTGTAGTAGTGCGGAGATGATTGAGGCATATTCAAGAATAAGTCAAATAAGTGAATTATTATTCAGAAGTCATGAGATGCGGTCTGGTGTGATGTAGGTTTCAGAAAAACATTTTCTTTATCGTGCCAACATTTTGATCTTTATTGAAATCATCTTCAGGGCTCAAAGTTTTTGTCTTCTTTGTAATTGTGCCATTCTTGCATGTCGTGCTGAGAGTGCCAATTATATAGATGGACATAGCAACAAGAATTTTTGTACTGATAGGTAGTTTGATGAAGTCATGCATTTTAAAGGAGCGATTTTTGATTTCTTGTAAATGTAGCTTAAAGGTAAGATTATTATCGAAGATGACACCAAGATCTCTTATACAAGTTGCTCTGGTTCTGGTATATACTGTAAATTAAGTATGACCAGGCAGTTACTAATTTGATGTTTCATCTTGAGATTTTTTGGTAACTATCTTAATATTTACTTACAGGGATGAACCAGTTAATGCTGGTTGGTCATTCGTCCGCAGAAAACTCAGTCAAGACAGTCCTTATAATTTCCCTCTTTAGTGGATATTGTGTTATTATATATTTTGTATACATGGGGAACAATTATTTGATTTAGGGTATTGGTTGGTTAGGCCGAATGAGCAAATTCTGCAATGGGGGGGGGGCGTGGTAGCCGGGTGATTAAGGCGTCAGACTTTCGGCTAGTAGATCCCACAATCATGGGTTCGATCCCCATGTCGCCTTCTTTTTCTGACACCTAAGGGGACCGGTGGCTGCAAATGAAAGAAATTGACATAACACTCAACAATGGAAGGGGCGGGATCAGATATCAGTGACCCTGAATTTGGTCCCAACTCACTTCAAACATGAGTTTCTTCGATAGAAGAACACAGGAACACCGGGGGCTCAAATCCACACTCGTGTTGCGAGCCTCCAAAATCTCTGAAGCTCATTCATGCCTGAAGGAAAAGCGATATTAAAAACTTTGGAATATTTTTTGAAAATGCTATTTACAAAAATTGGAATAATGACTGACAGTTTCAGCACAGTAACTAAACTACAAAATTTTTGTATGAATAAATATATTATAAATATAATAATAATGAGATATACTTTAATCAAAATTGTTAAAAAAATATATAATTTCATTGAACAAGGTAAGAGTATAATTGTACATAGGGTCAAAGGGCATGCAGGAATTAAATATAGTGAAAGAGTGGGCAAATTAGCCAAGGTGGGAGTAAGTTAAGGCTCTTCCTTAAATATTCAATTAACTGGGAGGCATCATTAATAATTTTAAAAGAGAAGGGCTCATGAAGGAGTAAAACTTGTACATTGCGTCTGAAGTGGGGAAGTATTATCACTTGTTATTCCCAGCGGTACAGAAAAATCTGTTTTCAGGAAGTAAGAAGAGGGAATGCCTAAAAATTACATGGTATTTTTGATTTGTGTCTACATAAAATCAAACATAGAACCTCGCCATAGCATGATTTGGAGGAAAGTCTCCCAGCACCTAGTGTTAGAATGTGTAGAGTACGGGTCCAAAAAGAGAATGTTTTTTGAAAACCATAGAGGCCGCAAGATATTTTAAGAAGCCATTCAATATAAGTTCGCTTCTATTAGAAAGCACAGAGGAAATAAGTGTATTTATGAATTTCATACAAACTGTGAAATAAGCATTTGAACATTGTAGGGTGGGTTTTTCATTATATAAATTTTTCTGTGATATTTAAATCGGCCAGATATATCAGGGCATTTAAAAAGAAAGAAAAAAATAATCATTTTGTCCTTTTAACACAATAGTTATTCTCAAAACAATACACTGTAATTTATATTTGCAACAATCCACAATTGTCTTGCTAGAGTTACTGAACAGTCTAACCCACACATCAAGCATGAAGGTCATTTACTATAACAGGTAAATTTTAATGTGACAATGTGCATGCCCTAGTGCTTCCTCATTGGGAACTGAGATGTATTCAAAATATTCAACGACTCAGTGGCAAGTCATTTACATAGTTTTATTATACAGTTTTTGTTCAGAAAGTCAACTTTCACTCACTACTATTTAAGGCTATGTTTGCGCATTTTTGCTATAATTACCTAATAATGATAATTTTTTATTCACTCGTTTTTTTAAATCTGCAATCTATATTTAGTTAATATATGAATAAAGAATCACCAGAACACCACAGCAGAACTAATTGCGATAGATAGCGCTCTCGATTACATACGAAAATTGGGTGATTCTAAATTTTGTATCCTCACAGACTGTCGAAGCATTGTAGAAAGGATAAATAACATTACCCCAGAATATAAATGCAGAAACTATATTTTTGCCCAAATCTGTAGGAAAATGCTTGAGACAAAAATCATGGGAAAAAGGGTGGCATTGTGTTGGGTGAAAGGGCATGCAGGCTTATGGCAAAATGAAACGGTGGACGCACTTGCAAAGGAGGCTGCAACATCAGGTCCAACCCTTGACATTAAAATTCCTAAAGATGATGGGAAAAACTTTTTGGAAAAGTTTTGTAGAAATCTGTGGCAAGAAAAATACAATGCATCAAATTTTGGCAATTATTACAGGTCACTGTTCCCTGAGCTCAAGAAAAAACCATGGTTTTCGGAAGGCGATAGCCTAGAAGGAATGTCAAAGGAGTTCTATTCTACTACTTTTAGACTGAAGACAAATCATGGCCTATGTGGTAGCTACAAGAAGAGAACGGTTTGGCATCGTCTCCGAACTGTCCCACTTGCGATTGCCCTTCAAATCCTTCCCACATAATTTTTGAATGTTGAAAAATTGTTTTTTCAATACAAAAATGAAAGAGACAAACTGCTAAAAAATCTGAGCAAAGTCCCAAACATTTCCAAACCAATAAACTTCTATTTCTAAAGTCGATAAACGTTTCTTTTTGATTATCTTCAACCATGAAAATTTAGAAGATGAGAAGATGATGGAGCTGAACGAGTGGGTGCGGGCGCACGGCGGGGACCTGGTCCTGGTCGGCCAATCCCGCTCGACAGTAAAATGCAAATAGAAAACTTCATGGGTAATATGCCAGCGTAAACCCCCAACCCAAAAAAAAGAATCACCATGCAAATTTAAGTTTATTTATTTGTAAACAAATATTTTTTAAATATTTTTTATGGTGCAATAAACTTTATTATTATTCATGTTGAACCAGAACTGGGTCTGTCTCCACACGGTATTTTCTTGAGTTATTCAAACGCATTTCGGCATTGCATTATCTTCAGTGAGGCACTAGTATTGTAATATTACTGTAAAGTTCAATTCCATATTTTACAAGTCATTTTCTTATCCCTTGCTAAGTTACAATTTTTTATTCTATAAAATTGCCATCAAATTGCAAAAATGCCCAAACAGCCCCTTAAGCAGTAGTGAGTGAAAATTCACTTTTTAAACAAAAACCGAAAAGTATAAAATAATAAAACTATTCAAAAATAGAAAAGAAGCAAATAAGAAAATTGATTATTTGAATATAATTGTATATTAAATAATAGTTGAAAACGAGAGTTCTATTCACAAACTGTTTTTCTTAGTGATCCAGAATTCGAGGTTTTAAATGCTCATTGTCTGACTGAATATAAATTGATTGACAAATGATTTATGTTTCATGCAGGTACCAAATTGTGATTAGAAAAAGGTCAAAATGAAAAACTTCTCTGTAATGATATTATAGTGTAAATGGTAATTATTTTTCAAGGAGTTTCCGAACAGTCTAACCCACACATCAAACATGAAGGCCATTTACTATAACCAGAAAAATATTACATTATCTCCCATTAAATTGCAGGATCAATTTATGGTATTTCTTCTCAGACGATTATTATTTGGTTTCTAATATGTAATTTGATATGCTATTAATGTAACGACATTGAACAAGTTAACCATTTTACCGTTTTGGTGTCTGTTATACGCCACCGTTAAATGCCATAAACGGATTTTGTTGCAGATATTAGAGATGACAAGAAGAGAATACTGGAAGTGCAAAATGTTGACCTACTGTTTAGGTCAAACGGAGAGGCTCATCACACTGATTTATTCCAGTTGATGTGGAGGAAGGAAAATCCACAATTAGTTGTAAGAAGAGGTCAAGTGTTTAACCTGAAAATAACATTGACCAGACCATACATTGAAGATCATGACTCAATTTCATTTATTTTCTCCCTTAGCGGTAAAAATATTTAGTTTTTATCTTAATATTTTAGAATTGTTGGTTGTTTTGAAGTAGAGATTTTGAAAAGAGCATTTTTTGGGGTGGTGGGGTTCAGATTGTGAAAATCCTAGTCTTGGACAAGGAACGCTTGTTGCCATCCCGCTCACAAAGCGTGAAAAATTGAAAGAAGAGCATCTCATTTGGTCTGCACAGCTTGAATCTGTCTCAAACAATGTTATCAATGTTAAGGTGAACTAAAGGGAATAGTTTGTGAAAAACTTGATATATTAATGTAGCATTATTTTTAAATTATTATTTCAGATAACAACTTCAGTGAAATGCATAGTCGGAAAGTGGTCTATGGACATTGACACAAAATTGTCTCATAATTTGACATTAAACTACAGTTATAAAGGGTTGATTTACATTCTATTTAATCCATGGAATAAATGTAAGATTTTGTTATTAATTTACAAATAACTTTTTATGCTATTTCAGAATATTATATATTTCGTCATGTTCACAAATAGAAATCAACAAATGAACTTATTGTCAAATATTGTGGTGAAGTCGACAGATATTTATATTCCTGTGTTTCAATTCTTTTAAGCATTCTACCATGTTCAACATGTACAGAACAACCACTTGGCGATAGGCCACAAATTGTTCGAAAAGCATAGCGATCAAGAATGGGCAGACCAGTTTAAAAAGATGATCAAAATATAAATCAATTTATGAATCTAATTTATTTTTCAATTGTGCATATATATTTTTAAGTTAAAGTCTTTCAGGAAAAGAATTTCCAATGCTGAAAACTCTGAATATGCTGAATTCAATACTAAAAATTTCTTTTTAAATCTATAGATTTGATAAACTTGTAGTAACTATGTAATGAATGTTCAGATATAATAATTAGTTGATGGACAAATTTAACACACTACTAAATTTACTTAGTTTAAAATTAAATCCATTATCTTTTCACATTAGTTTCAGGTAATTAGAAGCCATCATAGTCAAAATAAACAGTAAATAATGATTTGTTTACTTCCTTTATTTACTTTTGTAATAATTAATTTTATTAGCACAACAAGTAGCATTGTGCCCTTCCATTCTGCCTTCCTAAAGATTGCTTTCAATTAATATTTTTCCTTCGTTTATTTCATTTGATATTATTCTTATTCATAAACTTTTTTAATGGCTCCAGACAGGCATTGAATGTGAGTGTGGCAATGCCAGAGTCATAATTTATTAGAGGAAGGATACAGCCAACGTGAAATTGTCAGAAGGCTGAGTGTAAATCACTCTATAACAGGAAAGAACATTTAGCGCATCAGAGGAACCCAATCAACCCTTCATAATAGGTCTACCGACAAGAGAGATGATAGATTCATCAATTATCTGTCTCTATGAAACCGAAGCATTATGATAAAGGATATAAAATATCTGATAAGACAAATCCGAAATGTTTTGATTTTCTCCAGAACTGCAAGAAGAAAGCTCAATGAAAATAACATCAAGGCCCAGCACCCGGCTCATGGTCGTCTTCTTAGGGCATCTCAGGAAATGGCCAGGCTTCAATTCATAGGTGAACATGGAACTGGAAGGTTGGGGACGAGTCCTCTTTACAGATGAGTTGAGAGTTTGTTTTAAATCTTCAGATGGGTGTAATTTCATATGACGACGCTCAGGAGAAAGATTATGGTTCCTCAGGTGGCATTCCATGGTCGGTCATTGATGTTCTGGATTTTTTTGCATTTACAGGCAAACTTGGATTTTGTTGAAGGCAGCAACTCCAACTCAGCAAGCCTCTTGGCTCTACAATGGATCTTCATATAAACGTTAGTGGGTGTACACCATGGTGTAGCATTTCCTTGGAGCTCACACTGAATTGGTTATGCGAGGAATTTACCTCCCAGAGGTACTTACAAGACATTGAAGAACATGCAGTGCCACTCTGGTGAGAGATTGTTGCTAATGCAGGGTAATGCCAGAGAACGTGTTGTGGATGACTATCTGAATGAGGTGAGAATTGAATGCCATGTTCAATGTCCAGATTTGAACTCAACAAAAAACATTTGGAACCAACTTAAGTGACGAGTACAATGGCGAATCCCATGTCCTAACACCCTAGAAGAACAACGGGTGTTCTTGATGAATGGAAAATAATTCCTCAGAATTATATCAGCAATTTTATCCAATGAATACAACAGCGTTTAACGGATATGATTCATGACAGAGGTGGAAATACTCTGTATTAAAGGGGACAACTTTTTTTTTACATTTTTATTTGTTTTTTAATTTTTTTGTGTGGTTCTTTACTCAATAATTTATTTTTTGGAATTAGGTAAAAACATATAAACATTTTTTTTAAATGTCTTATTTTTATAACTTGGTTTTGGTATGGAAATATGAATAAACCTAAATACATTAAAATTTCTGGGTGGTGTGTTAATTTTATCCATCAGTATATTTTGACAAATAAGATTCTAAGCATAAGATTGTTGTCTAAAAAAAATGTTCACACACATTGACAAATATTTGAATGATAAAATAAATAATTAAATATAAAAATAAATTAAAATAAATAAATATATTTATATTTAGATGAAGAAGTGTATTTACAAAATCATGAAGAGCGGGATGAATATGTGTTAAGTGAATCAGGCTTGATATACCGAGGAACTCATACTAGAATTAAACCTTGCCCTTGGAAATATTCACAATTTGAGACTGATGTCCTTGACTGTTCAATAATGCTTTTCAATAAAATAAGCAAGGTATCTTTTTCAAGTATGAACGACCCAATACAAATCTGCAGGGCTTTGTCAGCAGCTGTGAGTATATCATATAAATATGTAGCCAATCTATTGTTATATTATATTTGCTTTATTAGGTGAATGATCAAGATGATAATGGGGTAGTAAAAGGAAACTGGACGGATGATCATGGTGGTGGAGTAAGTCCTACAGTTTGGACTGGAAGCATGAAAATTTTGCAGAAATACTTCAAAACCAAGAAACCTGTCAAGTATGGCCAATGCTGGGTATTTGCGGGTGTCCTCACAACTGGTGTGTCTAATATTAATTTTAAAAGTGACATTATGAAAATTAATTTGAAGTGTGCAGAGCTCTTGGAATTCCGGCCAGACCTGTGTCATGCTTTGATTGTGGGCATGACTCGATGGGCAGTCTCACAATTGATTATTTCTACGATGAGGAAGGGAAATACATGAATGAACTCCAACACGAATCAATATGGTGAGTGGAAGAAAATTTTATTCGTAGAGAAATTTGCAATTTTGATAACTGATTTTGATGATTAAAGGAATTTTCACGTATGGACTGAGGTTTATATGAAACGTCTTGACATTGGAAAGGAATTTGATGGATGGCAGGTGATTGATTCAACGCCGCAGGAGCTGAGTGACAATCAGTTTAAATGCGGCCCTACATCAGTTCATGCAGTTAAAAACGGCCGCATTCTGACACCTTATGATGGTAGTTTTATCTTTGCTGAAGTCAATGCTGATTTGGTATACTGGAAGTACATTGGACCAACACAACCTCTTAAACTAATAAAAACTGATACCAAAAAGTGATTTTTAAATTTTTTACCATTTATTTATGCAGTGTTGACTGATATGGACTTACACCCAGTTTCACTAATTAGATAAATTCATGTATGTTACTAGGATTGGAAAACTTATTTTGACAAAGGCTGTACATGAGTGGGATAAGGAAGATATCACCCAAAATTACAAACATCCTGAAGGTTAGGCCTATGAAGCATTTTTAAGTTTTTTAAATTTATTTATTTTATATATTAATATTCCAGACTTAGTTTTGAATTTTCAGAAATTTTGTTTTTACAATATGAAAGTGTATTTCATCAGTTTTTGTCATTCATAAATCTAAAGTTGTCTGTATTGTGCATAACAATGTGTTTTGACAGAAATTGCAAGTTTAACTTTTGATAAGCAAATTATTTACAAATTTGGTTGTCTTCAAATAAGATGAAATTATCACTGTAGAAAGACGATTTACTTATATTTTTTTATTTATTACTATTTGTGTTTGCGCGATGATTGATAATCACTTCTATTCTTCTTTGTTTGGTAACCTAAAAGATACAAATGAAGAAAGATTGACAATGATGTCTGCCCTTCAAAAAAGTGGAAACTCGCTGAGCAGGTTTTACCTCAATGAAAATTTTAATGACATCAAATTTGATTTGAAACTTGTCGATGACATAATTATAGGATCATCATTTGTGTAAGTCAACAAGTAATTATCTATTTCTTCATAAAAAATGGGATTTTTTTTGAAAATTTCAGAGTTTCTTTGAAAATGATTAACAAAAGTGTAACTAAGAATTACCAAGTACGTGTAAATCTAGCTGCTGATGCTATTACATATACTGGAAAACAAAAAGGAGAAATCAAAAGAATACAAAGAGACATCACAGTGGAAAAAAATTCAGGTATGACTGTTCTGAAATCAATTCAACCTAGATTTTATTACGCTCGATTATAGGAGAAGAAGTAAACATGACAGTCACTTACAACGATTATGCTGATAAACTTGTCGACCAGGCTTCTCTCAGTGCATCGTGTCTTGCTAGAGTTGTTGATACAGATTTTGATTTCTATGCTGAAGATGATTTTAGGGTTAGGCAGCCTGATATAAAAATGATTGTAAGTTTCCTCCAAATATTTGATTGGCTTAATCGATTATTCAAACTGTTTTACTACTATTCAGGTGTCTGGGGATCCTGTCATTGGAAAACCCATTAAAATCAAAGCCAGCTTCATAAACCCTTTACCGATCCCGATAAAGAAAGGTTTTTTCTCAATCGATGGACCTGGGATTACAGACAAGTCGAAGAAGAAGATATTCGAGTATAATACATCCTGTTGTTTATTAATATTTTGTGTTTTCATTAAATTTTGTTTTAGTGCTCCTCCACATGAGGAAATATCAGCGGAATTCATTCTTCAACCTCAATACCTCGGTGATCACATGGTAGTTGCAAAGTTTGTATCTAAAGAATTGAGTGATGTAGATGGATTTATGAGAATCTCAGTGAATTAGAAACAATTAGTTTAAACCATGAAGCATTAATCTGTAACTAGTTAAATTTATATGTTTTAATATTTAGTTAATGCCTTGATGTTTAATTCATACAAACTAATTTTTCAATTATGTCAAATAATAAAGTTTTATAGCATGCACATAAGAATTATGTTTAGTCAACTTCTGTAAGTGATTATGGCTAAAATTTATAAGTGATAATATAATTGTCAATCAAGCATTTTTCATTCACATTTTATTTATTTAAATGTTATATACAGTGTTTTCAATTATGACATTTTCAGAGAAAATACAATTTTGTTTGATAATGATTTACAGATTGTTTTAATTTATTCCAATATGTTTTCATTGTTAGTATTTTTTTTTACAATTTATCATACAATTTGAGGCATCGAAAAATAATATACCCTTACCCGATGTAACACCTGGTAATACAATTATAGTAATTAGTCAACCCTTCAGTTGTTGAAAATTTAGGTATGTTGAAAGAAATATGAACTTCGTCTCAGGTTATTAGGAGAAAATGATCGAATTTCTTTGTCATTTGTTACACAATTATAATCATATACATAGATTTATTATATGTAACAAAATAAGCTATCAAATGGGTCTTGCAATTTTTTTAATTTCAGATGATCAAAAGAGCTCTGGTCATTTACAAATAATTTAGCGCGTACTGCCTACCACCGAGGAAAGTTCAAACAAATAATTTACATCCACCATCATCATTAGGACCCAAACCAAAGATGAAAGTTTTTTTCAAGTAAAATAAATAATTGCTAATAAAACAATATTACATTTATGTGTGGTGATTAGTGACCGTTAGTCGAAGATTATTCAGAAATCGTGAGATGCGGTCTGGTGTGATGTAGGTTTCAGAAAAACAGTTTCTTTATCGTGCCAACGTTTCGATCTTTATTGAGATCATCTTCAGGGCTCAAAGTGTTTGTTTTCTGTGTAATTGTGCCATTCTTGCGTGACGTGTTGAAAATGCAAGTATGGCACAATTACACAGAAAACAAACACTTTGAGCCCTGAAGATGATCTCAACAAAGATCGAAACGTTCGCACGATAAAGAAAATGTTTTTCTAAAACTACATCACACCAGACCGCATCTCACGATTTCTGAATAATTACATTTATGGTTCATCTCGATAAATTTATTTTTTTTATTTAAAATTTTTTTGTTAGAACAAAATAAAAACCTGGGTACATTAATAGAAAAAGGTTCTACAAAGCAGAAAAGTCCCATGTCTCTGTGAACAATACTTATAATGTTTTCCTCGTAAACCTATATCCCGTCCATAAGAGCTATCGGTAAAAGTTTTATACGTAAGGCGGGCCTGCAACTGCCTTAGTCAGCAATAGTACCTTCCTGATCCCAGCTGGATTGCACTGTCCTTCTCTTTTGCTTCCTTAGGAATTGTTTATTGACCTTTTTCCGGCCAGCTGGCTCCAAGTATTACCCAATTTCTTTTATTGGAGTTTGTCTCTTCTAGTTTTTATTTATGATAAGTCTGAGTGCGAGGGTGAGTTCTACCTCGTCTTTATTTCACCAGTTCTTCATTTCGGGAGGGACTGGAATTAAAGAGGCGCTTGTGCCTTTTAACAAAAATATGTCGGGAATCGATCCAAGGTGTGATGAAAGCAAAATCATTTCCCCCGAAATAATGATGTGTGTTGACATAAATGAGATCATACAGCTAAGAAAATTTTATGTACTAAAGCTAACTATATAATCTGCGGACATTTTGAGAAGAAATTGACGTTTCATTTTGATTTCGTTGAAACAAAATTCGAAATGATTTCTTCGTTAAACGTAGTGTACCACACGATTCTGCAGAGAGTGTAAACTATGTATGCAGTTATTATTTTTCCCGATTCTCTTTTGTGTTAAATTATGAGTCGAGTATTTTCAGTGGAAATTCTTTGGCCGCGCTGTTTCGTCGGCCTAGGAATGGAAGAGGACTCTTTTCGTACCGACAGTTGTTTTTTCCCTCGGTGAAATGAACGCCTGACGAAAGGGAAAATGAGCGGGTATTAAAACCGACTCTAATAGGAGTGCATTGTTTTATTTGAATGCTGTGCACTGATTAGAGGGCAGACCTCCGACACCTTTCACACTTCGCCACTGCTTCCCTTCATAACCGATCATTACACAGGTGCTAATTATACCTCGGCTCTGCTCTCAAACCGTAGATTAGAACGAGAACCGAAATTTTTCGAGAAAATAACATTTAAATGATCGCTTCGAGGGCTTCAGACCTATCGTACTTTTGATAAGCCGAATGCGTGTGAATTTGAGTTTGGCTTTTCTTACGAACTACAAAAAAATATACATATGTACATAAATAATTGAATGGAAGAGAAGAAGAAGAAGAAGAGAGAGAGACGAGGGAGAGGGAGAGGGAGAGGGAGAGGGAGAGGGAGTGGGTGAGGGAGAGGGAGTGGGAGAGAGAGGCCAATTAACAAAATTCACAATTTTACAGATATGGTATTTATACAACAGTATATTATGAACAGTAGATTTGTATTATATAACAATCGCTTGTGCTGGGTGAGATGATCAGTCTTTCTTTCAAAATAACAACGCAATGAACTAGATATTATTATTTAACGTTCAAATTGTTACACAAATATTATTTATAATATGCTTTTTGAATGATTTTAGGTAAGCAAAACTATTTATATTAATTTTGTTGGTATAACAGAATTCAATAGCAATATTAAATGGGTTTTGCTTACAAAAGGTGTTTCTATATCTTTGTAAGCTGATGGAGGAATCAATCTTGGTTCTAGTGGAGAAGTTGTGAGCGACTGATAATTTATTATTCCAAGCTTTATAAAATTTAATAAGTAAATTTAATAAATATATCTAATTGAAATTATGAATTTTAAAATCTTTATACAAAAGAATGGTGGAGTACAATCTAGGTTTTTTTTAAAATTATTTTAATTATTGCATTAACTGTTGTAAGTAATTGTCTTTTAGTAGACAAATTTACATTACTTCATACTACCACACCATAAGAGAAAATCGACTGCACAAGTGCTGGATAAACTCGTTTTATGGTATTTATATTAATTATTTCTCTTAATAATCGAAATTTATAAAATAATGATCGGATTCTTTTTATTATAGATGTTATATGCTCTTCCCATCTTAGGTTTTGTTTATGATTAATCCTAAATATTTAGTTGAACAAACCTGTTTAATTTCAAAGCAGTTAGAGCAATTTTTGAACGTGCAATTGCCGTTATGTACGACAAGTATATTGCATCTGAAGTACTTTTTTTATTGTATGCTCAGATTGAATATATATTCAAGGAGTCGACTATGAATAAACTATACATTTTAATTATTTTGTTGTTCACATTGCTAACATAAAATGAATTGGATGGCTTTAGTTCGTTCATATATTTTTGAATTTCTGTTTTTTTTACTGGAGTTAAGAAAATTGAGTTTTTAATTATATATTTTTTTATAATTTAATGGTGTAGTAAACGATGGTTTTTTAAATTTTTTATTAATTTGTTTACAAATATCGGCAAAGTATTGATTAAAACACTCCGCTATTTCAGGTGACGAATTTCGTCCAGTTCCCGTATTATCAACAATTTTTTTCTTTCTTTATCATATTTTTTTATCTTAGAGTCGTTAGATATTTCATTTATAGTTTGCCATAATAATTTGTTGTCATTATTACTTTCATTGATTTTGTCCTTATAATAAAGTGTTTTAATCAATTTTATCAGTTTTTGCATTTTTGCAATTTAATAATAAAAGTTATTTACAAAGTACAAGTTCTTTAACAATTATTTTTGGCAGCTTTGAATAGTATAAATTGTCTTCAGTAAATTGATTGCCTAAAAAAAACCTAAATAGAGAAGAATGCTTTAAATAATTTGTTTTGTAGTATGGAACTTGGGTTGGAGTTAAATTATAATGGGTCCGCTGATCCGATTCTTGGAGGAAACGGGATTGTTCAATTATATATAGTAATAATATTTGTGTATACCTAGCTTGTGTTGAGAGTGAAATATATTTATTAGCGTGAATGCGTAATGTGAGAGGATCGCTGACGGAATATCGACAACCCAGTAATGCTCAACTCGGTACATGCTTGTATGTATGTACTTATATGGGCGGATTTGAGACCATATAAATCCAAAATCCTAAATTAGAGTGTCTACTTGTACACGAAGAAGCCGATGTAGGAAATAAATAATCTCTGCGTGATGAGAGGATGATGAATATTGAATAGGTTCTGAAGTCTGAGGATAGACGAATTGTACAATGTTTTCACCATAAGTGCAAGTAAAAATGGAAAAAAAGTATCAATATCAATGGTAACGACTATACTTTTTTCGCAATCGAAACAGAACACAAATAAACTGGTAGGATTTCGGTAATAATTTGCAGAAGTCCCGAACTAAAGGCAATAGATCGACGACAGTCATTCTTCTTGAAAAGTAAGTCCAAAAAAGGAGCACTTTTTTTGAGAACCGTAGACATTGCGTTGAGACACAAAAATGAAAAACTGTTTAATTTAAATTGAGATGGGAAGATTCAAATAAAATATGTGAAAAAGTAAAGCAATATTTACAAATACATTTATTTAATGCAGAAACAATTTTGCACGTGTGTGGATTTTTTAGATTCCTAAAGGGTTTCGATAGTTCAGGTTGTCGACATTTAAAAAAAAAATATCGATACCATTCTTCTTATACTAGTAATGAGTATCGTATGCATATTTATTCCGTAGCCGAATCGCTTAATGTGAGAATTGATAAACAAACAAACAAACGTTGTTTTTTGCGTTTTCAAAGACATTTTAAAGGCTCCTGGTCATTCAGTCCAAGCTATTTTGAAAATATGTAATTTTTTGTTGAACCTGAGTATCATATGTGCAACACTTACTTTCCGTAAAATTAGTATATGTGAAACACATGAATTTTTTTTTGGCCGTCGTCAACCTCGTGATTTTAACTTAGTTTCCCTTCCGATAGTTTTAGTTTTTTAGTATAGTATTGGTAGAAAAATAAGATAAATAATGGCGATGTTTTCCGTAAAAGATCCTGACATCGTCGAGTTGGACGACGACGCCAAAGTTCCTTGGGTGCATCAGGCCTTCAGTCATCCAGATACCCGCGAACTCCAAGTAATAAATAAACCCGGTCGATTTGAAAGACTTCGAACTCTAAAGGAGTTGTGATTTTTCAGAAAGAAATTGCCAGAGTAATGAAGCGTATACAGAAAAATCCCAACGTCATATCTACATTGTTCATCAACAATTGGGGTAAGTAAATAATTGTTTAACATTCCCAAAAATAAATCACTGAAATCATGGGCTAAAGGGTTGCCCGAAGAGACGACTATGAAGATAATGCTCGCCACTCTCACGTCGAGAGTCTTCAGGCCTTTCATTTGGAGATGCGAGCATTTGGTTCGCGATTTGGATCCGGATGACGTTTTAGTAGCTGTTCGGCTCACGACACTGAAATCGGAGATTCTGATGACCTCGGGTAAAATGTGCGACATTTTGAACATTGCCAATTCACTTTAGAAATCACAAAATATTTTCAGATGTTGACTTCATATTCGTCGTGTTTCACAAGCTCTTGCCTGAGCCGGTGTTGTATCCGAAAGCGCCAAAGAATAAAGAATATTAAAATTTTAATAATAATTTAAAAATATAAAATTTTTATAATACGCAGTCTTTTAACCTTTTACTTTACTTTACTCTCGGCGTTTACATTTGTTATTTTTTCACAATCGTAGTAATATTTTACCATTATTTAGTCAAGCGGACCACGAAACCTAATAAAATGTAGTAAGCAAAATGAAGTATACTTCACTAAAGCTCTCCGTGGTCATTTCATTTGTCGCCGAGAATCAAATAGATTACACGACATTTGAAAAATGGCAAAAAGAGGGAAAATTCAAAAGGTGAGGTTGAGTGAGATGGGAAGTTAGTGTCCGAGTGGATCGAAGTCACGATAGCTCAAGTGGTAGAGTAGCAGCGTATCGAGCCGAAGGTCGTGGGTTCGAATCCCGCTCGTGATATGACTTTTTTTATCTCAACTAAAAACCTTAATTAATTGAAAGATATTAATTGGTCAAGAACCACGAAAACCAAGAAAACTAGTGAATTGAGTTCTATATAATTTTAATTCCAACCATTCGAATTGTGGTGCTCGGAGTCGTCAACCCACCCGGTGGATCGTCCAAGATTCATCGAGGTCTCGTGTTCCGAGGTCGAAAGATAAGGGAGGGATCTCCATCCTATTGACTTCCCATCGATCGTTGATTCCTTCCTGAACACCGCCCTGCATCTTAGCCCAACAGTCCACGAGATCGTCGAAGCCGAGGACGAGAGGTCGAGAAGATGAGGTGGTCTTTTTTGTTTAATTTAATAATTTCTTTTTCAGTTTGTTCGTTTCGTTCCCGGCCGCTACTCTACACCTGACCTATCGTGACTTTGATCCACGCGGACACTAACTTTCCATCTCAACCCCACTTTTTTTTAAATTTTACCTCCTTTTATTATATAGAACAAATAATCGTCAAGGAAAAGTCGGCATCAAAAAACGAACTTCGACTTAAATTTCCAATAAGATGTGATCAATATTAAACTTGTAAACGTTAGTGAAATAAGCGTTTGAGTAGGAAGAAATTTGAAAAATAATTTTTTTTAAGATGAAGAAATTGATGAAGAAAAAGAAAAAACCGTGGTTGAAGTATTGCTAAGGTAAGTAAAATAAATAAAAAATACTTACGGAAATTTTGAATGAATTGATTAAACTTTTTTTAAATTGGGTTCGAAACCGAAATAGTGCAAGTGTTTACTGATTTACCAACACGACTTTGATTAAAGGATTATTGTATTATTCTCCGGAATAAAAAAGTTTTAAGATTCAAAACATTTTTAGTTTTCTATGTGATATCTTGTTAACACTTGCAACGGCAGCGCGTCGAAAATACATTGCCGGTGGTGGAGAGCATTTAGATTCAAAATTAAAAAAAGTTTAATAAATTCATTCAAAATTTTATTAAAGTTTTTATTTATTGTTACTATTATTCTTTCCACCTTAACAATCCTTCAACCACGGTTTTTTCTTTTTCTTCATCAATTTCTTCATCTTTGAAAAAATTAATTAAAAAAGCAATTGCACCACTAAAAAGGACACTAAATGGAGTACGTTTTCTGAAATTTGCTGGTCTCTAGGTTTGGAAATAGTAGTTTAGAATCACCATAGTAATTTTTTCAACTTTGAAAAAAAAATTTCTCTACTAAAACGTTTATTTCACAACAAATGTTTACAACTTTAGTATTGACATCTTATTGGAAATCTAACGTACTTTTCAATGGTTTCAACGGATTTGTCCAAAACCTTTTAGTTTTGGAGTTATCATTGTTTATTTGAAGCAAGTTCGTGAAATCTTAAAAAATCCGAAAAAGTGAAATAATTCCGCAACTGTTGAGATTCGAACCATAGTTAATTGGTTAACTTATTGGCTTCATTTTGAATGTAGAATCTACTGGAAAAGTTTGTAACACGAGTGGCTGAACACCCTGTATGTGATGGGGATATTTTATGAACTTCAAAACTTCCTTTTTTTTTACTTTTTGTCGCAATAAAAAGTGAAAAGGAAAAGATTCTGTGATGTACATAAAATATCCCACTCATATGATAAATTGGTATACGAAAAGATTATATTTGATAATTATTCAGAAATCGTGAGATGCGGTCTGGTGTGATGTAGGTTTCAGAAAAACATTTTATTATCGTGCCAACGTTTCGATCTTTATTGAGATCATCTTCAGGGCTCAAAGTGTTTATCTTCTGTGTAATTGTGCCATTCTGGCGTGTCGTGTTGAGAGTGGGCAGGATTAACGGTCACTAATCACCACACATTATATTTGATATTATTTTATTAATAATTACTATTACTCTATTATTTTCAATTATATTTTTCATATTATTATATTGGCTTATATGTTTATATATCGTTTTGTAAGGCATTTAATTATATTTTTTGTTACGACAGCAATGTTTAGTATTTTGAATTATACCTAGATGTAAAGTTTTAACTTATTTATATAAATAAATTAAACGGTGAGAGGGCGTCAGTGTGAAAATATACATCTTTCACTGAATAGATTGGTATCCGTCCTTTCATTTGAATGTTATGACTTCTGTTACTTCAAGCTGTGACACGGGTAAAAAGACGACATTGAGAGGATTGCATGTACCGCAGACATCGCTACGCAACATCACGCGAACTAGGCCGTAAACGCCGGTCTCTCTCTCTCTCTCTCTCTCTCTCTCTCTCTCTCTCTCTCTCTCTCCTATCTCTAAATCAATTGTTGTCGGTTTCAGACCAAATTAAAGAGCGCCTCTTAGTTTGATGGATTAGTTTGTTGACCGCCTCTCCGCTCCTTTGATCTCTAGGCCGTAGAAACTTTTTTCATTACCAAGTCTCACTTCACATTACGCCACTTTTTCTGTGCACGGCCACCAAGAAATTATATGTTCAATGTTTCATCCGATTTCCTGTTGATTTTTTTTTTACATAATAACACATTAACAATGTCTCAAAATTGAGCAGTTCTCATTGTAAAATATTGAATTGCTTTTGATACAGTTATCTTAGAGTATTTAAATTTAATCGCAGAACTCTATATCATTATAAAATATGGGGTCTGGTATGATGTAGGTTTCAGAAAAACATTTTCTTTATCTGCCAACGTTTCGATCTTTATTGAGATCCTCTTCAGGGCCTGGGATTTACAAACATTGTTTATATTTAACAAGTACATGTCGGATGTGGAAAAAAGTGAATTTATACAATGCAAAATATATTTTTTTATATTCAGAAATTGTATTTGTTAAATGTAAACATCGTTTGTAAATCCCAGGCCCTGAAGATGATCTCAATAAAGATCGAAACGTTGGCGCGATAAAGAAAATGTTTTTCTGAAACCTACATCACACCAGACCGCATCTCACGATTTCTGAATAATTATCGATTAACGGTCACTAATCACCACACATTATAAAATGTAAACGTATGTCTTTTTCACTATCCACTGTTTTAAATGAAAATTCAATTTTATTTATGCATTCATTTCTATCACCATTGTTAATAAGAAACATTGTTTTAATCAGTACAAAATACATAGTTGGACAAATTTAACGCTGAATTTATTTAGTTTAAAATTAAAACCATTATCTTTCTACATTAGTTTCATGTAATTAGGAGGTATCATAGTCAAATAAACAGTAAAAATGCTTTGTTATTTCCTTTATTTACTTTTGTACTGATTAATCCCATTTGCATAAATGTAGCATTATGCCTTTCCATTCTGCTACGACTAAAGATTGCTTTCAGTGAATCTTTTTCCTTTGTTGATTACATTTGATATTATTCTTATTCTTAAACCTTTTTCAACGGGTCCAGTCACGCATTTGATTGCGTTTGGCAGGTCAGTGTCATAACTTATTACAGTAAGGATGCAGCCAGTGCGAAGTCGCCAAGAGACTGTGTGTAAATCACTCTACAATAGGAGGAAGGGCTCTTCGGCGCTTCAGAGAAACAGGACTTGTCACTAGGTCACGACATGGTTGAACTAGGTCTACAGACGAGAGAGACAATAGATTCATCCGTTATCAAGCTCTACGAAACCGCAGCATTATGAGAAAGAATATAAGAAAAGTAAAAAATGTTTCGAATTTCTCAATGAAAACGGCTCGTGGACTTCTTCGTACCACAGTGCAGAAAACGATCAGGGTTCATGGGAACATGTGCATTGGACACTGGGAGTTTGGGGACGAATTCTTTTTACAGATGAGGTGAGTTGGCCTCGAATCTTGCCCAGGAGAAAGGTACGCGCCCATGCTGTATGGTTCCTTAGGTGGCATTCCACGGTGGGTCATAGATGTTCAGGGGTGGCATTTGTTTGAACGCCCGCACCGAAATGGTTGTGCGAGGAAGATCTTATAGATACTTACTTATAAGCATAATCGAAGAACATGAAGAGCCATTTGTCCCCCACATTGGTGAGAGATTTTTGACTGTGCAGCATAATGCCAGGATCCATACAGTACGTATTGTGTATGACTACCTAAATGAATTTGAATTTAAGTGTTTTGTGCGTCCAGCTGCAAGTCCAGTTTTGGAGCCAATCGAACACATTTGAATCCAACTTATGTGAAAGAGTACGACGGCTAAACCCAGGTGAATAGAGCTAAAGTGAATTTATACAATGCAAAAATACTTTGAAAATGCTTTGATTGAATATAAAAAATATTTTTTGCATTGTACAAATTCACTTTTTTCCACGTCCTACATGTATTTGTTAAAATTAAACAATGTTTGTAAATCCCAGGCCTGAAGATGATCTCAACAAAGATCGAAACGTTGGCACGATAAAGAAAATGTTTTTCTGAAACTTACATCACACCAGACCGTATCTCACGATTTCCGAATAATCATCGACTAACGGTTACTAATCATCACACACTTTTGTGAATACTTGGTAAATAACGATTAATGAATTTTTCTAAATTCGAAAAATGAATAAAAAGGAAGTTGCTCATCTGTCTGAATGTGCATCGATGAAAATCTTTTAATTAAATTGATGTTTATCTTGATCTGACCACATTTTTTATTCTTCCTTTTTCAATATAACTTGTTCTTCCTTTCTG